AAGAAATTTGAAAATGCTTCTCAGGTTAACTCTGAGACCCATCAACACATCTCACACCCTACCAGGTTAAAAACTGTCCCAAGTGCTAAATCAGCTGATATACATTTCTATGACCAGATGGAAAGGAGTTAGGGAAGGCTGGCAGAAAAGGACAGAATGTCAGAAAGAACTCAACATGATCTGACAGGTAAATGCTTAACAGCAAAATATCAGGCAAAATAACAATAACAAAAATGTTTAAAAAAAAAAGATGTTGCTGTCAGCTGCTGTCAAGTCAGCCCCAAACTCACGACAACCCCATGCACAAAGGGACAAAACACTGCCCAGACCGTTGTTATCCATCGGGGTTTTCAGTGGTTGATTTTTGGAAATAGATCGCCAGGCCTTTCTTCCAAGGAGCCTTTGGGTGGACTCAAACCTCCAACCTTTCAGTTAGCAGTGAAGCATGTTAACCATTTGCATCACCAGGGACTCAAAAAGAAGATACATTCGTTCAAAAAGAACAACAGCCTGGACTGTTAGCCGTGGGACAAGTCATCTCAGAGATTTCAGTAGCCCCTGAGGGCATCACCGTATTCCAGGATAATACAATCACTGATACATTTCCTTGAATGATCAAGAAAAACTTAAATGGTATTTAATACATATTATTAAAAAAGTCAGGAAAACACAAGTATTTTTATAAAAGGATTTCTCTCTAAAATGGCTCAATTCTTTGATTTTAAATCTCTACTCATGTGACACAGTGGTTAAGCTCTCAGCTGCTAACCCAAAGGTCAGCATTTCAAATGCCCCAGCCACTTTGCGGGAAAAAGATGTGGCAGTCTGCATCAGTAAAGATTTACAGCCTTGGAAACCGTGTGGGGTAGTCCTACTCTGTCCTATAGGGTAGCTATGAGTCGGAATCCACTTTCCAGCAATGGTTTACTCATGTGAAAATGACTGATGAAAAGCAACATGGTTTAGTGGGAAAACTGAATGAGTTCTGCAGTCATGCAGACTCCTGTTATGGAGCTCAGGAGATCTGCTAGTCTTTGGCATAGGGATGGAGTGACGGTTAAGGTTGTGTGTCACCTTGGCTTGGCCATGATTCTCAGCAGTCTGGCAATTATGTAATGATGTAGTTATTCTCCATTTTGTGAAATAATGTAATCACCTCCATGATATGATCTGGTATGATCAGCCAATCAGTTGTAAGGAGAGTTTCCTCAGGGGATAGGCCTGCATTCAATATATATCAACGTTCTGGCGAAGCTCGCTGGTTTTTACCAGCTCTGGATCCTGCACCTAGCTCGTCATCATCTGACCTCCAGTTCTTAGGACTTGAGCCAGCGGCTTGCCGTGTTGCCTGCTGATCTTGGGATTCCACAGCCTGTGAGCCAGCTGCCTGCCATCTTGCCTGCCCATCTTGGATTCGTCAGTCCCTACAGCTACAGGAGTCAGAAGCTTCCAGCCTGACTCTTGGCCCACGGACTTGGGACTTGCCAGCCTCTACAACCACATGAGCCATTTCCTTGAGACGAATCTCTCTCTCTCTATATATATATATACATATACACTTATGTTTCACTGGTTTTGCTTCTCTAGAGAACCCAGCCTAAGACAGATGGTAACTGAAATCTGCGAGGAGATGAGGTTTCCAAAGAAGAGCGTGCAGTGTTTGAGGAGAAGTCATGCTGGGCCAGAGCTTGAGGACCACCACAAGCCAGCAATGACAGAGAAGGAGCTTGCAAATGAAACACTGGACTAATCATAAGTATGGAGGAAACCTAAAGAATGCAGGGTCACCAGAGACATGGCAAGAGAGTATTTCCAGAAGGAGGAAACTGTCTACTGTGTCAAATGCTGCTGAGCAGTAAAGAAAGTGAAACAACGGAAGGATATCCCCTCGGCATAGCGAAACGAGAAGTCAATTAGTATCTTGGTTAGGATAGATTCAGACAATGGTTACAACAGAAAACAAATTAAAATGGGTTAAGGAAAGGAAGGTGAGACAATGAAGACAAATAAGTAATTACAACTCTTTCCAAACTTTTAGCTGAAGGAAGAAAGAAAGGGAGACTTGGCTGGGGATGAGGGGGAATTCTGGCATGCAGAAAGAGGCTGAATATATAGGAGGAAGAAAAAGGCAAATAAATGGAGTAAGGCCTCTGAAAATGTGAGGGGAGAAGGAAGCCACAGCACAGTGAGTGGATTAGACTTAGGAAGAAGGGCACCTCCATTCACTAGGAGAAAAGGATGAGGCAAAGGAAAGAAGATCTGATACAAAGAATCTAAGGGAGCTCCTTCCTGTTTGATGGAGTCTATTTTCTTTGAGAAGTAGAAGGTAAATCATCTGTTAAGAGTAAAGGAGCCTCAAGATGGGTGGAAGAGTTAGAAGTCTGAGAAGAGTAGAGATTTTAAATCATCACCAAGGAGAAATGGAGGAGAGGAATATGAGCCTCCTCCCATCACCAGCCTAAACTGTGGACGCTGGTGACCATCAGACAGGTTAGGATGCACTTGGAAAGGCTAGGTTTGAAAAATGGGATTCTTCCTACCAAGCATTTAATAAGCATGCTACATTTCTCAGCATACAAAGGAGAGGGGTTTGGATCTGAACATGTAGTAAGCTGATAGAAAAGTCAATCAATGAATTCCAAGAAATGTAATTGACGCCCATATTTTAGTAAACAGCTAATACTGAAATATGACACCGAAAGCTATAATATGTAATCAAATTGAGAATCAAATTAAGACAAAATAATGCAGTGAAAAAAGCCCTAAGTCACTGTAGGTTTCTATTTAGAATTGTATTTCTAGTATTAAATGTTCCTTTTCAATTTGTATTGGGTCAAGAGGTCATTAACACCATAAAAACAGAGTTAATAGAAAAATGTGGTATGGGACAAAGATGTGCTATTATGTTTTGCATGAATACATGTTATTGGGAAATGATCAGTTGTTAAAAACCACCACTCATAGTTCATTAAAAGATAGCCAATTACATCAAAACTTATCTCCTATTTTATTTTCCAATTAGTTGTATTCTAGAGACAAGAGGAAAAGCTATAATAAAAACTCTATTTCTGTATCTACACCTGCTTAGTAAAGGGTCATATAAGTTTTTTATCTAACTAAATCACATACAGTTTATTTCCAGATTTCTTTTAAATATTATATTTAATTTTTCCTCTTACGTTAGCCTTAAATCTTAACTGAAATTTGTGACTAAAAGCAAATAAGCAGAACTAATTTATGGGAACAAGAGAGGTCTATTAAAATAGATCTGCAATATTCCAAAAATGGCTGCAAGTGGCTAAAACACATATGAACAACAATAATAAAAGAAACACAAATTTAAACCAAAAAAGACATTTGTCACCTGGCGAGATTTTAAAAAGTTGATGAGTACTGATAAGGATGTGGGGCAATGGTAA